TGCAAAACTCAAGTCAGTATAATTGTTGTAAACAGTTGCTTCCCCTTGCCTCGTTGTGACTCTACAGTTCCCATCATGCTCCAGATGTTTGTGATGATCTATGTGCTGTCAGTTGTCGTCTCGCAGTCAACAAATCCCCCATCTAAGAGAGGTCGGAATTTCACCATCCACTCATCCCAGCTGGTCTGCAGTCTGCCGGGCCCAGCGGGGCCTGCAGGGAACCCAGGAGCCCCTGGATCACCCGGGGTCATGGGCCCCATGGGGCCCCCCGGGACAGACGGCCAAGATGGGAAGGATGGAGAGAAGGGAGAGAAGGGAGCTCAAGGTAGTAGTTAATCTCTAGTTGTATGTTACTGTGAACTTGAATGATCTTCACATCATATATGTCACTGATCTGATTTTTCTTTAGCACAACCTCTCCAACATCTATGCGCAGATGTCTGAAGTTGCAAGTTCTTAAGTGTAAAGGGAATGTTTTTATTGCCATTTGACTCTTTTTTTGGTCATTAGCTTCATATTCAGACCTTTTTCAGTTGCTTAAAGGAGCCTGTTGATTTATTATTTATTATCACAAGTTTTGAAGAGTCAAAAACCATCTAAACAGCCCTAACATGCCAATTAATATGCTCTTTTCTTTTGTCAGTGACAATTTCACAGGGAACGTTTTAGGCTCTTAAGAGCTTTTGGTCATCAAAACAATTAAACTACTCACACAATTAACAGAACACTTTGAAAACAATCAGATATAGGGAAAAATGAGGGTAATAGGTATGCTAGTCCACCATGTCCACACGCTTTGCCATGATACTGGGGGGCTCTCGCACTGCTCATCCTGTTCCTCTTTGCACAAAGGAGCAGACACCAGTCTCTAAGGACCTTATATGGCCTGTCCAGCTCTCCTAGAGTAACTGTCTGTCCCCTGGAATCTCTTCTATGACAGCAAACCTTATGCTAATGGCACGCAGTGATGTGCCATTCAAGAGTTGAACTACCCGTGGAACCTCTAGGATCCAGGTATCACCTCATCCTGCCAGTTGTTACCAGTGACCCTAGACAAATGCAAAAGTAGTGAAAAAACACAGTCAGAGGGAAAATGTCAGTGGCTTCCACCTGTAAAACCATTCCTGTTTGGGAAACTGTTTCATTGTTGCCCCTCTACTGCACCTGTTGTTAATTTCATGAACACCAAAGCAGCTGAAAGTGATTCACAACTCCCTCTGCCATTTAACTGACCAGATCAAGATCACAGAAGTTTAACTGATTTTCTACTAAATGTGTTCCTTTATTTATTTTGAGCACAGTATTTGTTTAAAACACGATTTTGGATTTTTTAGCCTTTATTTAGATAGAATAGTGAAGAGAAGACAGGAATGCTAGGAGGTCTTGGTGAGACATATGGTAAATGGACCCGGGCATTTTCAATAGCCTTAAAGAACATAGCTAAGCTGCTCAAGCATGTCAGCTATACTGGTGCCCAGATTATACTATTTTATTGTCATCTTGTCATTATTTATGTGTTATCAGGTGATCCAGGGAGACCTGGGAACCCAGGCAAACCGGGTGAGAAAGGTCGTGAGGGTATTATTGGCAAGGCCGGACCTCGGGGACTGAAAGGACAACGTGGAAAACCCGGAATATCTGGAACCTGGGGACAAAAAGGAGATGTGGGTGACATGGGCGAGGAAGGAGCTCCAGGTGGTTGTAACTGTGGCAAGCAAGCACGATCAGCTTTCTCTGTGGCTGTGACAAAGAGCTATCCTAAAGAGCGCACGCCCATCCGCTTCACCCGGATCCTGCTGAATGAAGGGAATCACTACAATGTCTCCAGCGGGAAGTTTGTCTGCGTTATCCCTGGAGTTTATTACTTTACCTATGATATCACACTGGCCAACAAGCATCTCGCCATTGGGTTAGTTCACAATGGGCAGTACAAGATCAAAACATTTGATGCAAACACTGGCAACTATGACGTGGCGTCTGGTTCTACTGTTCTCCACCTGAAGGAGTCAGACCAGGTCTGGCTGCAGATCTTCTACTCGGAGCAGAACGGACTCTTTTTTGATCCTTTTTGGACAGACAGCACCTTTACGGGCTTCCTAATCTACCCTGACCAGGAATTTCTCAATGAAGCAGATAGAAAAGCAAATGCTCAAGATGAAAATTAATGAACTGTAATGACGATTTATATCTAATTGAACTTCACAAGTTTGGGCTTTGTGGAATTTCAGTTGTTTAAGACATCCGTCACCAGGAGGCGCACTAGGAAAGAAAGAAAATCAACTGGAGGAATCACGCAACAAAACCTTAATAGTGAACAAAAAACATTTTACCTGAAATATTATGCCCTTTTCTCATAAAATATTTAAATTTATGTAGCCCAAAATAATTTAATTCTTTTTCTTTTTTTTTTAACTCCTTGATAGGAGATGGCACAGTGCCTTCTTCTTCTTTTTTTTCTTTTTTCCTTTATTAATCATTATAAAACCCAATTTGAAATAAAATCTAAATTATATTGTAAGATAAATTATTTTACAGTGTTTGTGTTTTTGAGTCAAAACTGGTTAGCACTGTCCTGGTGCCTGTGTGGAATTTTCATGTTCTCTCCAGGTTCCTCCCACAGTCCAAAGACATGCAATTAGGTGGGTCAGGTTAATTGGTGACTCTAAATTGCTGGTAGAATATAAGTGTGAATGGTTATCTCTCTCTTTGTGTTGGCCCTGGCGACTTGTCCAGGGTGTACCCTGCCTGTTACCCTATGCACCTGGGATAGGCTCTAGCCCACCCCTGCAACCCTGAATTGGATAAGAGGAGGAAAATAGGTGGAACAGTTTTTGAGTATTTGTGTATGGTTCATTAACATGGCGTGTATTTTTGTGTTCAAGTTCATAATTACTTTCATGACACATAGAAGTGTATTCTATAAACTAACATCTTTTAAATAAAACTAATAAGCATTTTAGAAATCAAATAACCCATCTTAGAGTTTTACTAATTTAATTAAATGTAATTTCTACCGATTGCGCCACTGGAGTTTTGCACATACAATCAATTTAAATGGCATTTTACTTGAACACTTGTATTAACTCGTATTGCATCACTTTTTTATGCCCAAAAAATTATTTGAACAAACTGAATATTTATTCAACTCAAAAAGTTTTTCTTCCAGCGAGTCATGAAATGAATAAATGATTGTAAACAGAAATGATGCACTAGGATAAAATAATATGCATGTCATGCCAATCACATGTGTATCAAATTATATAAATATTAACCTGCAGTTTTGTGTTTGTAGAAAATTTTTAATTTATTTCTCACTTAAAGTCATCATGCTCCAGTCTAAGGTTGCTTCATGGGCTGAATTGCTTAATAGAATTCAGGTTAACACTTTATAATACAATCTGTGATTAAGGGCATAATCCTCCTGCAATTAAATCAATTTTTAAGGTACTTTGTTTTAAATTATAATGTAACTTTCCTAAAAATACTTAAAAGTAGATACATTAGAATAATTTGTATGTATTTATATGTATTTGTATTTGCATGTATACAATTTTATGTAGCACATGAGTAATTTAAGTAATACAGAACTTCATGTGACTTACAGGAGAGAAGAAATAGTGACATTTTAAGTCATTTTAAGTAGTGTCGAACTTCTGGGTATTTTACAGGAAAGGAGACAAAAATGATACTGTGAGTAAATTTAAATACTGCATAAACAATTTTAAGTACTACATACTTTCCTGGTAATTGTGCCATCTTAAATTATAAGTACATTGTGCTTTTTGGGTTGTTGGCCGTATTATAGAGTGAATTTAAGTTACGCATTATTTAAAATTACTTGTACATGAATTAAATGTATTTACAGTATAAATACTTCTTTGTTTTCTGTAAAAACAAAAAACAAAAACACTTTTGCCCCCTTATGCCAGTGTACCTCACTTCAAGTATTTGTAGGTAAATATAATTACATTGTAATTTCAAATAAACTACATTCCACTGTAGTTCCATTTAATTAGTCGTGGGCCATACTGTAAAGTGTTACCAAATACACGACAATGACAGACTACATTAAGGAGACAAAGGATTGGAGAAACACAAGAACATGCTGCACCTCCTGTGTTTCTTTACTTTTAGAGGCCGTTCATCACCATTTCATGGACCACAGGGGGATTTTTAACTGGGGTTTTATACTCAAATGTCTCAAAGTCATCTGTGGGTATTCACATCACACATGGAAGCAATTAATCACACTTGATCTAATGTGTTATTTAACTAAAGTAACCATAACCCATGATACTTCAGGGAAGAAATGCTATTCTGTATTTAAACTTGTGCTTATGTAAAAGTACGAATGCATCAATGGCAAACCTGAAAACTTCATTTTAGAATAGTTAGTGTAGAGCTAATTTAAACAATTTACCCAGTCTTAATGTAAAGTGTTAATAGCTATTTGGAGTCAAATCTTTTGCAGTACGCTTCATGCAGGCACAGCTTCTGCTACAAACACTCAGATAACAGCTTTCTTAAGTAAACAGGAAGAAAGCAGCGTTTTATTTATATACAGGCTCAGCTCCCCTGTTCTTATGTTTGCAAAATCTTCCTTTTTGTTTGGAGCCTGGAAGCATGCTGTATATTCTCCTACTTAGATGGCTCTAGCTAAAAATAACCGAATCACTTCTAAAAAGTGTTATACTTGAATCAAACACTTTCCTTCAATAAAAATGTGAAAATATGATGCTTTACTCTCATCTCTGTCAGTGGCTCAGTAGGTAACCCAATGCACCACTATAGAGCCTCATGTTCCCATGCAGAGATGCTGAGTTTAAATCCCCCAAAGTCAGCCAAGAGTGATGTTTAGCAAAATGGACTCACACAGGTTTGCACTTAACGAATGTCAGTGTGATATCTAACTTCCTTTAAACAGCTGTTGTCATTATCAAACAAATATACTGAAGCAATTCCTCAGCTAGACCCTATCCTATTCCTTCCCCTAAACTAATTCAAACAGATACCATACTGAAGGCACAGTATCTGCTTCACTGCTTTTGTGGTTCCCCGGGTTCCAGCATTTACTTGGGGATCATTTAGCCCAAAGAATTCAACCAATGTTTTTAAGAAGCACACACAAGCTCTTTATATCTTGCAGTTTAAGATAATTGTTAGCATAAATCTTGTGCCAGATAGTTTATAAAGGCTGTTGAAGCCTGTGTGTATTGTTGTGTTTTATTGGTACTGATACAGGGGAAAAGCTTAGAGTCAGGGATACAGTGCTGTGGCAATTATTTGCAAACTTCTGTATTTCTTATTGTTTTATATTTGTCATATTTACATGTTTCAGATCATTAAGAAAGAAAGAAAGAAAGAAAGAAAGAAAGAAGGGTCAGATACTTCTTCACTGCACTGTACAGTTAGCTCTCACACTTGATAGCATTTAAATAGACAACTTCAATAACAGCACTTCCAAAATCACTGGAATTCTTGCTCAAAGGGAATACTATCTGGGATTTCTGTCTTAAAAGATATAATATAATATAATATAATATAATATAATATAATATAATATAATATAACATAATATAATATAATATAATATAATATGCATTCGTTAACATTTTGTATATTAAATAAATGAAATGAGATCCTTTGCTGAACTGTGGCCGTTTGTAGTTCTAGCGTTGACCTTTAAAGACTACAATTCCCAGGCTGGGGGAGGAACCTCACGTCTAGCGCACGAGCTCTGTAGACCAACAGTAGCAGCTGGCTGAGCCGAAGAGGCTACTTTGTTAACAGCGAAGCCACCGGAGAGAAAACGGCTCAGCGGTTTCTCTCGGAAAAGTGTGAACAGTTTGGGGGAAACGGGGAACCCGAAGGCCTGTCGGTGGGATTTAACGGTGGCACCTACTCTGTTTTGTGTTATTAACTTTGTTTTTTCGCCGACAAAAAGAGGTCTTACTCAAAGTTGAGCCGTAGAGGAGTTCTGTCGTTCAGGATGTCGGACTGAGACAAAGGGGTCTGGGGGGCATTCCCGACGGAGCGGTGAGTGAAACGGGCGATAACTACCAAGACTAAAAAAGAAAGAAAAAGTTTTCTTTGTTGCTGATTGCCGGAAAAATAAGCTGAGTTTGTGATGAGCTCAGTATTTCTGAGCCTGGTGGGCACAGTTAACTTAAAGCCCGTCTGTTTGGCCGCAGTCTCGTGGTGCAGAATCGCCTTCAGTCATAACTGAAATGTAGGACTGGTTGGTGATTTGCCGTCGCGACGAACAACCACGTTAAAAATGAGATTTTATGGAAGGCTGCTTTGATGAGACTGACCTACAGCATGGTCGAAGGGGGCATTTAACCGAGCCATTAGGTTTCCGAACACAGAAAATGGCCTATGCGGGGAAATAGACCTGTGCAGCGAGATAAAGGTGTTTAAAAACTTTATCAAAAACGCATTTCTCGAAAGAGTATTTGTTTATTTATTTTTTACTGTCAACGAGAACAAAACAGCTAGCTTACTAATCCTACATTTTAAATGAAAGAGAACAGTTGTAGAAAGACTTAAATTCAGCTTTACCTTCTTTCCTCCCATGTGGTAAAAATAGTCTCAACACTTTCAGTGTGGTGGTTATACTGGCTTGGCCTTGCTTCTTTCTTCAAGTACCTGAACTTTGTCTGATTTTGCTTTCAGCAGGTAAAACTAGGAAAGATGGAGAGGGAGCTGGAATGGTGGAAGGATCAGTTAGCTGCAGATATCCATCAGTCCCTCCGCATTAAGGTGAGTTTGTCTGAACTAAGCTCTGTTTTAACAGGAAGTTTTATTTTGCCGACCTTCTTCTGACTGCTTGCGCTTAGGATAACTTAAATTCACCTTTAAAAACAGTAACCCCCACCTCTCCTCACAATACTAGGCTTTTGCAGGCCTCAAACAGTGAGGCCAAAATCAACAGTGTCTGTGAATTAAAAATAAAATAAAAAACTTGCTACACACTGCAGTGCATTGCTTATCTTTATCACCAGCTCAGAGGAAGTCTAGAAAAACGCCAGCAAACATTGACAGTTTTACTTCTGCCTAATCAAATCCGTGAATTAAAGTGATTAACAGTGAGTCAACAAACACTGATGTTAAACTCTCAACTGCAGCTTTGCCAAAATTTGTTACTCAAATGGATTATAAGTGTTTAGTTTTAGTTTTTTAATTGCACCCTTTGCCTTATTCTAAAGACCAAGTGATTACTATTGATTTTCAGAAGAAAATGTTAAAAGTAATTTTTCTTTTTTTGAGCAGTTGTGGCACGCATTTGAATCAGACCCTGAGCTGTATTGATATTCCACAACAAGATGTAATGTTGCGAGGAAAATATAATTACCCGGTCCTGCTGTCTATTTAAACATAGTCTAAATTAGATTACATGGAGGATTTAAGGCTCATTAA